AGTAGGCACAGCAATTAGGGTTAGAAATCGTCTTAATATTTAGACTCGATTAATCGTCACGAATAATCGACGAATAATCACGAATAATTGTTAATTATTCACGATTATTTAGCAATTATTCAACGATTATTTGGCGATTATTCAACAATTATTCAAGAATTATTCACAATTATTCAACGATTATTCACGATTATTTAACGATTATTCAACGATTATTCAATGATTATTTGACAATTATTCGACAATTATTCAACGATTATTCAACGATTATTCATGATTATTCAACAATTATTCATGATTATTCAATGATTATTCACAAATATTCAATGATTATTTACAGATTTTTACACAGTTTTTTTACAATTGTTTTTCTTTAAACTGAGTGATCGCTACGAATATCGAAACTACAGGGATAAAATACATATCTTTTTGTAGCTAAGAATGATGCCGATCTATCTATCTTAGAAATACCTTAGTAAAAAATCTCTCTGTGCCTCGCAAATTGCGAGTGAAGTCAAAAAATAGAAAAAACATACAAAAATCTTGTGCAAGTGTTGAAATTTGTATAAATTTTTGCCTAATAAAATTTCCTGATGAAATAAATGTTTGTTTCTTTTAAATAAAATATTTATTTAACATTTAATTTTGGTATTAATTAAATAACAAAGTTTATTATGTAATAATGCAATTACAAATTTAAAATTTCCATATTAAATTAATTTGATAATATTTTTATTTAAAATATAATTAATATTAAATCAAAATTAACATTTAAAATTGATAAATTAATATTAAAAATTATGATTATTAAGGAAACATTTCTACATATGTATTATTTCGTTTAATAAAAAGAATTTGATTGACTAAATGTGAATTTAACCTATTTCTAAGAGAAGTTACATGAATTCTAGCATCTGAAAATAATCTTTCGGAGATACAGATATTGCAGGAATTGATAAATATTTTTGTGCCAATTTTGATAAATTAGGATATGAATTACAATTTGCTTTCCACCAAATTAAGGGATCACTTTTTTCATGCATTAATAACTCTTTCATTTGTAAATATTGTTCAAATTCATTTGAATTAGTTCTAAATTCTTGATTAGAAGTTGAAGAAAGATGAGAAAAAAAAGATAATATTAAAGATGTTGGATCTGTTTCTAATGAACTTTGAATTTCATCAGATGACAAATTTACAATTTCTTCAATTTCTTTTTTAATTTTGTCATGTATAATATTACGTGTATTCTAAATAATAAATTATATAAAAAGTTAAATATTATATATATTATTTTTAATTAAAAAGATATATACTTACTTGTAAGCAAAAAGTTAAATTTTTAAATCTAGGATCTAAAAATGATGCAGTTAATCTATAATTATTTGAAATATTCCATCTTGTTTCAAGATCATTCAAAATAGTATTACAAATATTTGAAATTGTAGTATTTGTAATAGTAGTATTTTTTGATTTTATATTTTTAAAATTACGTATAACTTCATCAATTATTGGAACAGTAAGAGCTAATGTTATATAATTTTCTCCTCCTAATAATCTTGTTGCTTGTTCAGCAGAAGCTAATAATTCTATTAAATCTTGAATGGTTTTCCATTCTGTTGAAGTGGGTAAAAGTTGATCCATAATATTAAAATCATGAACATCAATTGATAAATTACTATTTTCTAAGTTATTAGCTAACCATTTAATTGAATTTTTTAATTTATAAAGTCGAACTAACGCATTGTAAAAAGAATTCCACCTTATATCTATAGGCTTAATAATTTCAACTGTTTCATTTTCTTGAATTTGATTACACATAACTTGTGCATGTCTTAATTGTTGTCTTCTTTTATCACTTCTCACAAAAATAATAAGATTTTTTACTTTTGTTATCAGAGGATCAATTATTTTCAATCCTTTAGTAACTGATAATTGTAATGTATGAGCAGCACATGGGATCCAATCTTTTTCCAATCTTGTTACTGCAGATTTAACATTACTTCCATTATCTGTAACTATAATTGTTATTTTATCTTCCAAATTCCAGTCATCAAAAACTTTTGAAACATGACGAGCAATTTCAACACCAGTATGTGGATATGGTATTTCTCCAATATTTAAAACCATGTTACAAATTTCAAATTCTTTGTTAATCCAATGGGCAGTAATATCCAAATATGAATCATGTACTTTTGATGACCATAAATCAAAAGTTAAATGAATATAATCAATAGAATTAATTATAATATTTTTGAGTTGCCTTTTCATATAATTATATGAAAGATCTATTAAATTTTTAATTGTATTAATGCAAGGAATAGAAAATTGTGGATTGAGAGCATTAATATAATTTTTGAATAAATCACTTTCAACAATAGATAATGGTTGTCTTGTTCCTACTATAAATTTCACAAGATCTTGATTTAATAATTTTTGTCTTCTTGAACTAAGAGGTCTTGATAGAAGTTCATCAATAGATTGTTATTTTTTTGGTTGTTTTAGATTGCTTATTTCTTCTGGAGTTTTTGAAGATAATGAAGCTTCAGTAATATGATGATCATCACGAAGATGTTTTGTATAATTAGTTGTAGAACCATGATGAGCATATTTACGTGTACAATCTTTTATTTGACAAATTGCATAAACAACATCTGTTTCTGTATCATGATCAGTTATGAAAAAATTCCAAACAAAACTAGTTCTCAATGCTACTACTGTTTTTGATTTTTTTGATTTTGATTTTTTTCCTTTAGAGGTTTTTAATAAAACAGATGCTTTTCTTTTTCTACGATTTTGAAGACGACTTGAATTACTTAGAATATTATTGTCACTGATTTCACCTTTACCTTCATCTTCATCACCTTCATCACCTTCATCACCTTCATCACCTTCATTACTGATTTCATTATCATTTAATTATTCTATATTAGTTGATTTTTCAAAAAAAGATTGAATCCCTTTTTTATTTATATTGCTTTTTATTCTATTCATTGGGGTTTTTTTGTTTTGGATAATATTTTTACTTGATGAAGCAATAGGTGTTTCATCTTCACTTCAAAAATTCATTTCAAAAGATAAAAAATCATCATTTTCAAAATCATTTTCATAATTATTCAAAATAGAATTATTTTCTAGAATCCAACCTTCTGTATTTTTCACATCTACATTTTTTTCATGTTCTATTTCCTTTTCTTTTCCTTTTTCTTCTCTTTTTTTACTACTATTAATTCTCTCTTCACTTTCTTCTTCTTCATCCTCTTCATCATCTATTTCTATAATTTTTACAATATCTCTTTTTCCTTTTTTTTCCACTTTTTCTATTCTCCTCTCCTCAAGTTCTTCACTCTCTTCTCTTATGTCATTCTCTTCTCTTCTTCTCACCCTTTCTCCCTTACTCCCTTCTCCTAAATGTCTGTGATTCTCTGCGACCGTAATTCTGGCGATTTCAGTGATTTGGTCAATTTTATTTTTTATTTTTTTTCTTGCTTCTTTTTCTCCTTTTTTTTTCTATTTTTCTTTTCTCAAATTCTTCACTCTCTTCTCTTATGTCATTCTCTTCTCTTCTTCTCCCCCTTCCTCCCTTACTTCCCTCTCCTAAACATCCGTGACCCTCTGCAATTATAATTTCAGCAATTTCAGTGATTTGGCCGATTTTATTTTTTATTTTTTTTTCTGCTTCTTTTTCTCCTGTTTTTTTTTCTATTTTTCTTTTCTCAAGTTCTTCACTCTCTTCTTTTTTGTCGTTCTCTTCTCTTCTTCTTCCCCTTCCTCCCTTAATCCCTTCTTTTAAATGTCCATGACCCTCCTCAATCGTCATTTCAGCGATTTCAGCAATTTGGCTAATTTTATTTTTTACTTTTTTCCCTGCTTCTTTTTCTCCTGTTTTTTTTTCTTTTTTTCTTTCCTCAAGTTTTTCCCTCTCTTCTCTTCTGTCATTCTCTTCTCTTCTTCTATCCTTCCTCCCTTAATCCCTTCTCCTAAATATCCATACCCCTCTGTAACCATAATTTCATCAATTTCAGCGATTTGAACAATTTTATTTTTTCCTTTTCCTA